TATGAAGAGGTGAAGAAAAAAGTGAACGGACTGGGGAAAGGCATGAACGGTGGATGAGGTAGGACGTGGACGGATAACACACACACACACACACACACATATTTTGCCACATCATTTTACCGCATCCATTCACATTTTGCCTCTTTCGTTCATATTTTTGCCGTTCATAGCGAGGATTCATTTATGCGTGAAATTTCATCGCACATTTTTATGCATTTTGTGCGATGTAACAGCACTACAAAACGCATATTTGTCATGGGGTTGTCTGTCTGTATGTGTGTGTGCGTGCGTATGTATGTGTGTATGTATGTGCGTGTATGTATGTGTGCGTGTATGTGTATGTATGTGTGCGTGTATGTGTATGTATGTATGTGTGTGTGTGTCCGCAGCAACTTGTCCGCAACTTTCCTGAGAATTTAGGAGAATGTTCCCCATTCACGCGTGATCCCGCAAATTTAAATTCAGCCTCCCCGTAGCTGCGAGTAACACGTTCGGCCCCGAAGAAGTTTTGGCGGGGAAAATTATTATTTCGGGAACCACGGAAGCTAGAAAGCTGAAATTCTGGGGAACTGTTTCCTGCCCACCCTCAACCGGTCAAATTTAAATTCAGAGCAGTGAAAATCGGTGGACAGAATTGCATAAAACGCATGATCGCACCGGCTACCCTGGTGCGCGTCACTATTTGAATTTTGTAAGTATGTGGTTTTCGCGAATCATTTTCATCATAACGGAACATAGGGGGCATCGTCGTCGTGCTCCTTACCTCAGTGGTTTTGGATTGTGTAAATCGTGTTTTTGCAGATGTCTGCGGCACGGGGTGCAGTGTGTCTAGCCGAGTCAAATGAGGTCGATCGCTGCTAAGCAAACAATCTGTTGAAGTGGGAGAAGAGACCTACTGCTCGTCGTGTCACTGCAAGGGATGCATCATCGTTATCCTTCTTTCCGGTAAAAATCGAGCCTGTCAACTACATAATCTGTAAATATGTCCAGTTGGAGCGAGGATGTCGAATCGTTGCCCGGACCAGTCGGAGGTTCGTTTCTTTTTCAATCTTTTAGCCATTTGTAAGGGGATTTTTAAACAGTGTTCGCTGATTATGCTATATGCTGAGTTTCCCTCCTTAAATATGAGTATTTATTTCCCTATAAGGGTAATTTCTAGCATCTTCGTACTGTCTACAATTACCATCTGCTTCTGGAGCACTTTTCCGGCTGCTGCCCACGTGATTTCCACGTAGGGGCTAGTGGAAATTTTCGGTAAGTTGCTAATTCGGGAACCAGGAAAGCTGGAAAGCTGAAATTTTAAGGGGATGTTCCCCTGACGGTCCTGGCGGCCAGTGTCATTGCGTTTAGCGAGAAGCAATTGACGGAAAAACTGGTACCATTAGCAGCGGAAACGTGCGGGGAACAATGCAAGAAATGCATTTTCGCATAGACAGTCGGTGCGCTAGCCAGTTATTATTTTCTTTTTTTTTGGCACTTCTTTCAGTCTGCATTAGCAATTTTAGCCTCTCTTAAACACAGTTTTGTCGGGTTTTTTCCTGCTGCTATTACTTGATAGTTGAGATGGCTATCAGTTCATTACCATTGTATGTCTTCATATTCGGGATGTTCTCCAGTCGTGTGGCCGGCCGCATTTTCATTTTTAATTTCATAGTTTCTTTGACCAGTGTTGCATCACCTGGTGGTGGTCAGCCTTTTGGTGTTCCTTACGTTCTTCATGAAACTATTAGTGTCTCAATGGCTATCCCAATATAAGCTCTATGAAGCTTAAGCCATTTGAAACGGTGTATTTTGAGCATCACCAATTCATCTTCAAGCATTATGCACCCAAACAATGTTGAGGTATCTTACTGTCTGAACGTTGCTCTTAGTTGAGGTCAAATCTATTATCCTGAACTTAGCAAAAAATCTTAAAGAAAAACTGTCGCTAATTCGAGGAATAAAGTACTAAATGCGAAAACTGAGTTTATTTTCTTTCTTTCATTACCACCATAGATCTTGATTACCGCCCCACCCCTGCATTTTCCTATTGCATGCACGATTTGTGCGGTTCCTCGATCAAATACCCTTCGCTATTTGGCCGCTGTTCCGGCCCCTTCTTCTTTTCTTCACAGGGCATTTTAGGCCCGTACTGCCTTTTGTATTGATTTACGGATATTTTCAGTGAAATATGACGATAGTATGACAATTCTGAGGGTTCATCTGGTAGTGATGGGCATCAAAGAGAAGACGATTATTCGCGCCGCCAACACCGATGTGCATTTGAAATATGACGATGAGTAAGTCTTTTTACTGAGAATACTTAAATCAGCTGTTGTTGTGATTCTCTCTATGTGCTTTTGAGAATTTTTCCAATTGCTTTGATCAATGCTGCATCGCCTAGTGGTCAGACTTTTGCCGCTCCTGATGTTCGTTTCGTTCTTTGAAGAGATTAACAGCTCACTGTTTCGCCGGTCATATCCACTTGGCAGGACTTTAGCTTATCTTGGTTATTAGCATCAGCATTTCGTCCCGAATTTTGCTACTCGTGAATCATGTTGCTGGACTTTATCTAGGGGGGTGAAGCCTCATTAAAACAAATATTGGCAAGTAGTTTCTAAATTCGAATATTTAGTTTATGCGAAAATTTTTTTACGGTCCTTTCTTGACCGCACAGCGGGATGTCTGTGATTTTCACCGAGCATCCGGTTCAGTGACCATTTTAGCAAGGACATTTTTTACAGAGTTCTTGACATTGAAACGGATCTTCCACCACAGCTGACCGAACAAGTGGACCATTAACCTCTTGGCAGAGATCTTTTCACAGAATTTTTCTTGTTTCCGAAACAGAGTTGCTGAGACGTTTGTAGCATCCATGTTGATGGGTGCCAAAGTAAGGAAAGTGTATAAACAGAGGAAAAATTATAGAAGAAAAATAGTAGGAAAAAACAGTTGGTTTTCTTAATTGATTTTCTGATTTTCTTAATCATAATTCTTCAGAGGGAAAATTTCTTTTAATGTTAGTGATATGTGAATGGTCCTTATCGTTTGTTTTTTTTATGCTTTCTTTCTTTTCATTTGTGTGAAGCTTTATGTGTCACCGGAATATCACATCATGACATTTCAAATGGCCTGAGCTCGCTTGTTGCTGTTTTCCTCTAATTTAACTAATTGACCCAAAAACGAGAGCTCTTAATCCTCAACGTGCCCTCCTAGATCCCAAACCTCATAATTCTTTTTTAGCTTCTTGTAAATCTGTCTTTTATTTAAAGTATTGTGTCACTGCGTACCAGCTTCCAAGACGAAAGGAGTTTTGACGTTGATGGAAAGGAAAATTGAGAGTCGGTTGGGAAAGGGGCAAGCGATTTTTACGTAGAATCCTCATTACCAAAGACGCATAAAGTTGAGATTCATTGAATAAATGGGTGAGTGTCTCCTCAAAATATGGCAAATTTTCATACATTTCGAAACGTTTGTTACAGGGGCTTCAGTATACTGTTGGAAGTGTTCAAAATGAACAAGAAGATGAAGCCACCGATGAAGAACATCATCGAAAGACGATTTTTTTCGATGCGAAAATGTCCAGGTAAAATACTGAGTATCGAATATAAGCTCAAAAAGGATCAGTGTATACTGTTAGTGCGTAAGTCTTTGCCAGGCCTTTGGGCTAACGCTCTTTCACTGTAGTCTCAGCGGTATTTTTTGTGCATCCAAGGATATTTTTTAATTTTTACATTCAAAAATGTTTGTCTCTTTTTCTCACAATACTGACGTGCAGGAGAATGCTGCATACGATTTTTTTGAAACCTTTTGTTGAAAAGTGTTATTTATAGAGGGATTTTCACTCCTGCTATAAAAAGTAGTTTTGACTCGCTAACATGCCTCAGTACCAATTTACCATCGAAACGAAAGTATCGAAGCGTACAGGCACCGGTTTTTCTACTGGCGAAATTCGACCATTAGCTTTTTTCTAGTCCAGAGGCAAAGCTATTTGCCAGTGCATTATCCCTGATAGCATTATGAAAGGAGCTGAATAAATTTAAAAAAAAACTAAATAATGGAACTATAAAAAAGCAGTAGTATCACCAGAATTTTTTTAAGTTTTTGAGAAGAGGAATAATTCGAAAAACAGAC